GCCATTTCACATCCAGTTGAGTACTTAATCTAAGCACTGTAGATTGCAGGCATAAGAGAAACCACTTTGAAGAGCCAGCTGAAGATTGTGGGAATCATTTCCCTAATTCTTAAAGAAAAAGCACATCTCTGTTATAAGCTTGTTGGAGAAAAAGAGGAGAAAATGAAAAAGGCAATAGAAAGAAACATGGTTAGACCAGAAATAACCAGGAATGATACTTCTTATTTAGGAGGGTGTCAGAGAAGAGAAAGTATCAGTTCAAACCCCATGATCTCATTGATTCATCCTGTGGATCTCTTCTCAAGCTCAGATCTGCTCTGGGGCACCGCCCTTTGGGGTGGAATAGGACAATATCTTAATGCCCTTTTCCTTCTTGTCTTGCCAAATCTTACATAGCCCGTTCCATTTTGGCAGGCTTAAGAATTAACCTTTTGGGTAAACAGGCAGAAGTACTTTCCTGTCTGAGCTGGAATATTCTTTTCCTGAGTTTCAGACTGTTTTTATTCCTAATTCTAGTTACCTTCATTATCACATCCAGAAGTATCTTTGATCTTTGGCACCTCTATTTGGAATCTTTATCCTTCCCCCATAGGCTTTTAAAATAAAAATGCATTAATTAGCTTATTAATTTATTTATACAAAATCTGGTGTCAGGGTTGCCTCTAGACCACAAGAGATCTAAAATGATGGCCATACCTTGATTCTAATGAGTACCCAAAATAAGTGTCAAGAAGATTAACCTGTTTTAAAACATATTTAAAGATTGGAATGCCCCACAGCTCAGACTTTGAACCTTTGTCTTTTCATTCTTTTTTTATTTCACAACAAAAATTTATTTTCTCACAGTTTCAAGGCCTGCGTTGGTTTCTGGTGAGACTCTCTTTCTGGCTTGTAGACAGCTGTCTTCAGGCTGTGTGTCACTTGTCCTTTTCTCTGTGTGTGTACATGGAGAGAGAGAGAGAGACCAGAGATCTTAAAAGAACAGCAGTCAGGTTGGATTAGGGCCCCACCCTTATGACCTCTCCACTCATTTTTTTAAGGAGAGCTTACCTGGTTTTATGACTTTAAATACTACCTATTTATTGTGGATGACTCCTAAATATACACCTCCAACCCTCACTTGACCCTGAACTACAAACTCATTTCTAATTGTCTACTTGATGTATCTAATTGTAGATCCGTAGACACCTTAAATTTAACATTCCTGAAAACAAACTCTTGATTCCCTCTAATCTAAATTTGTTCCTTCTCATTTCCTTGTCTTAGTAAACCCAGCTGCTCAACCTAAACACCTTTGAGTTTTTCTTTTGTATGTCACATCCAATCCTTTAGCAAGTCTTGGTTGATCCCCTTAAAAATATATCTCAAATCTTTCTTTTTTTTCTTTTTTCTTTTTCTGTGGCAGAATTTTATTTTATTGTATTTTCTTTTTAAATTTATAAATCATGTTTATTCTATTACAGCTGTCTCAATTTTTACCCCTTTATCCCCCTCCGCCCTCCACTCATCCCACCCCACCCCCACTCCCACAGCCAATTCCCACTCTGTTGTCTCAGATCTTTCAACCTATCATTTCCTTTAACATTGCTGTTCAGGTTGAGATTATCATCTTCTCACTTAGAGCAGCCTCCTAATTGTCTCCTTGCTTCTACTCTTGCTCAGTTCACCTTTAAAACACAAATTAGATTATAATTCTCTTCTGCTTAAAACATAATAGCTTCTCATTAAAAAAGGTCCAATTTAACCGGGCCACTGACTCTCTCTGTGATTTTGTCCTCTATGAATATGTCACCCTCATTCCCCTCCAGCTACACTGCCCTAACTTTCTTTAGTCATTCAGGTACATCCTGACCTCAGAGATTTTGTATTTGCTGTTTGCTGACTCAAGCTTCCTTTCTTAAAAAAAAAAAAAAAAAAAAAATGTGGCTAGTTCCTTTACTTCACTTGAGTCTATACTCAAATATCTCTTCAGAGAGGGCTTTTTATGTCTTTATTAGTCATCCTTCTTAAAACAGCGTGTTCCTTAAATTCCCATCCTTATAGTGCTTTATTTTTCTCTGTAGTCCTTGTTGCTATATGGCATTATATTAAAACTTTATTTCCTGTGTTCACACTTGAATGCAAGCTCCCTGAGAGGAATAAGGGCAAGGGTATCCTCTAGGGCCTGGCTCATACGAAGTACTAAATATGTGGAATGAATGAGTTGAATGTATGAACCTCATGGCAGCGATGATAATGGCAGTGAGAACAGAAAATAAGGAATAAGAATTTAAGACTTGGACAAATTAAATTCCAAAGTTTTGAATGAACTTGTAAATACCTTGGAGACAATATCCTTGTGAAATCATAGCAAGTGGGAAAGGTAACAAAAGATTGTACTGTTTATAACTCACCTGGCGTCTAGAGTTTTTCATGTCTAATACTGAGTCCTGTCTGAGCACAAGGTTTTTAAAAACACAAAAGAATGTGTTCAGAGATGGCAAACAATATAGTGAGAATACATTATATGAGTAGTGGTTAAGTAAAAAGAATAGTAATTGCAAACATTTACTATGTGGCATTATTCCAGATACCATTTATAAAAAATTATTTAATCTTCATCCTATGAAGTAGATACTATCCTATCTCTTTTTAGATGAAAAAATGAAATTGCAGAGAAGTTAAGTAACTCCCTCACAAAGATAATAAGAGTCAGAGCTAGTGCTAATTTCATTCTGATTTTAGAGTACATGTTTTTAATCACTGTGTTATTTTAGTATTTTAAAAAGTGCTATTGAAGAAAAACTGGGGTACTGTAGTTGCCCTAAGAAGACAGTGTTAGTCTTTGCCTTAAGTGTTGCCATCTCTTTCTTAATCCCCTCATTTTATGCAGTAGGTATTTCTATAATAATAGGACCAGTAATAACACTTTATTATGCTTACTAACTTGTATTCCATCTCCCTCTATTAACCTACATTTAACCTATTTTAAGGATTATATTTGATTCACTTTTGAGCCATGAAATTTAGTGCATAACATATTGTATATTCAACATTCAGTTTTGTTGAATGAAAGAAATGAATGAATGGTCTTTAAACTGATTAGAACTGTCCAATGGTGGAATAGCTTATTTATAAGGTCATGAGCACCTGGTCACTGGCAGTGTCCAAGCATGGGTTGGATGCTTGAAGGATACGTGAGGTGGTGCTGCAGAAGGAACGTCCATGTCATGTGGAAATGGAAGATTAAATTAGGTGTCCTTCTATGAATTATCTGATCCTTTAATGAGTTAATTATGATTATTTCTCTAAACATTAAGTTAGCACTTACTATGTGCCTAGCATTGTTCTAGGCACTAAAGATAAAAACATAGAAGTGGCCTAGCCAGTATCCATAGGAGCCAGTAGTCTCTGGAAAATTAAGAAGAGAGGTGCTTAAGGGTATAGGTATAAAGTTTTAGTAGATTAAAATCTGTCTTTTTCTCTTTATTTTTCAGATGTTTTGAATAAATTGGGGAGGGAGGAAAGGGGTATTACAAGGAGAAGAACTAGATATGAAAGATGACCCTAAAATTGGCTTCCTGAGAAGGAAGAATTTAGGGAGTGAAGACCACATGCTATGTTCTTATGGGGGGATTCCCCCAAATGGAAATACCAGTGTTTCCCATCAAGGTATATTACAGGGCTGGATGTAATTGAGTAGCAAAAATGATTTGAAATTCTTGGAACAAATGTGCTTTCTCCAAAACCAATAAAGGTGATTAAGTCCTACCCCCATCTACCCTGTTTAATGGCATTAATATGAAATGGACAGTCCATTAAATCGTGATGTTCACAAGACTTAAAAGAAAGCTTTCTCGTGATTAAGACAAACATTCTAACAGCTAAGTACAAAGGGACCCTTCTGTGTCTTTTCTGATCATGTGCCTGAAATCTGTTAGGCAGTGGGAGAATAGTGGTCTTTCTTTATATTGCCCTGGTCCCTCATGCTGCTCATTTTTCACACATGTCCCAATATGCCTTGACACAGAATCATCCTTTCTAGCTGGGACATGATGCCTAGGTAGGTGGGGAATTCCCATTTTGTTTAAAATCATAGTTGTCTTGGGGTTTGGCTGGCATGTTCATGCTAAGTTTACTAACAATTGGTTTTTTTCCTCTTATACCATATGCTATTCCATGATTCATCTGCTTTGAGTCTGTTGCCTTGAAGGTGAAACAATTTCTTCCAATGTTGATATTTCATAATCTCATAGATAACAAGCATACGCATATGCATAGTCCTTCAGAAGTTTTAAACATTTGGGGATGAATGAATTATGCCGTCACAAATTGAAAAGAGCAGTATAAAATCATAATGGTGATATTAAATCATCTTTTGTTGGGTGGCTGGGTGAGCACTGATATTGATAAAGCCTGGATACTTTACTACATTTCTTTACCTCTTCTTGAGAAATTATTTCTGGTATGTATCATTTATGAATTTTTGAATTTAACATTTTACTTCAATTGTCTTGATTTTATGTATTTTAATATTTTAGATGGACAAAATCTTTATTTGTAAAAGTGAGATTTAAATTCCAAATAAATCATTCACATTCATGTTGTCATGATGACATCTTTTCTATTGTGGGTAGCAATGACTACTCAAAGGTCAAGAAATCTTTTAATTTTTGATATAAACAGTACTCTTTCAAAATATTTTAATAGAACATATTACCTTTTGGAATGCAATGCAAAGCAGTTATTTCTGCATGAGTACTTTCTAAGTATTGAGAAGATTAGTCTTTTAATAAGCATGGACTAAACTCAATTTTTGCCTGTAGCTTTAATCAGTGCATCTATCATGTTGCATCATTTAACCATCTGTATCTGTCAATGATTATTTTTCGATGAAGAAAAACTGTAATTTCATGGTATAAATGCATGTGTAAATATGTTATGCATTTAGAGAAAGATTTTTGAAAGATTCTAATCCTCAATATATCTTCCTCTCCCTCTCCTCTTTTACCTGGTTTTAGCTCCTCTTTGGTTCAGGTGTGCTGGTGTCCCTAAGTCTTTCTGGGCCACAGCTGGAGAAAGTGGTGATTGACAGAAGCCTGGTGGGGAAGCTCATCTCAGACACCATCAGTGATGGTAATTACCCCCATGTGCAAATCAATTGCCTACAATTAACAGTGGGGCAGGAGAAATAGTTGTCAACAGGTAGACTAATTATTACCAGTGGGGACTGGAAAACACTAGTAATTGCTTGTAATAGCATAGTTACTACCCATGGGATCAATACAAGTTTTGACTAATATTTAATATCAAAGTTTTTGTTAGGTGGTAGGCTCATGCTCTGAATATTTTTCACCTTTTCCTTAAAACATGTGACTATATTTTCAAAATGGGTTTTCTGTTGTGTTCTTTCAAAATTAGTTTCCTATTGTTGATGTTTCAAATATTTTTCATTTTCAAATTAACTTTGAATAAATAACCCAAATGTGTCAACATAACTCTCGGTTAAAAAAAATCTGTGCTTTGTCTCTTAGGAAGATTGTATGTTACCAAAGTCTATGAGTATTAACTTTTGAGGCAGTCCAGACAATATTTAATTTTTTTTCCTTTTTTGTAAGTTGTTCAAGTACAGTTGTCTCTATTTCCCCCCCCACCACTCTCCCCTGCCCCATCGACCTCTACCTTTCACCCTCAATCCTACCCCCCTTTGGTTTGTCCATGGGTCCTTTATGCATGTTCCTTGATGACCTTTCCCTCACCCCCTGACATCCCCCTCCCCCAACTGACCGTAACCAGACAATGTTTTCTTTCTTTTTTTTAAAATTAGAGTTGACATTCAATATTATATTAGTTTCAGGTGTGCAACATAGGGACTGCACAGTATTTCTAAATATCAAAAATCAATGCCAAATATACTAGATAAATCTGAATCCTTTTAAGTGATACCATAATGGTATACAATTGCTACAAAACACATAAAAAGATTTTAAGGCAGATATTTAAAAGATAGGATACTGACATTTATTGATCCCTAAGAGGCTCTATGCTTTACCAGCCTACCCATTTTATTTAGTTCAAGAAACAACTGCTTACAAGGTATAGTTATTTTCACCTTATAGGTCCGGAAATTGGAGCTGAGATACTAAGGAACATGCCCACAAATGTGATACTAAGAGCAGCTCAAAATGACAGCTGAAAGTTGAACCCAGGTTCTAGCTGCAGAACCCATTTTCTTTACACTGTACTATACTGATTCCTAAAGTTTTAAGGTTATGTTCTTTTAGTCACAGAAAAAGTTCTAAGAAACAGATTGTATTTTCATTAGAGGTTGAAAATTGTCATTATCTTAATTTGAATTTGATTAATTTGAATAATCAAAGGGAAGTGTGGTCTAATGGAAAAGACAGAGGTCAGGGCTACCTCTGAATAGATCAGACTCAATTTCATCATCTTAAAGAAAAGCAGTCTTTAGGATGGCTATTAGCAATATTACTGATAATAATAAGGACTGTAAGTGTTCCATTTTCTCTTCTTTATAGGAATATGATGCTAAGGAAGTTTCCCTATGGAAGAGGTTTCATTTTCATGTCTCATAATCGACCCCTTTGTTGACACTGCAAATAAAATAGTGACTGTGATTTTATCGTACTGATGCACCTCTATAAGAATTGAAAGGAGACTTCCAACACTATTCGTGTCTGAGATATCTTCTTTCACTTGTTTCTTTTATTTGTACCCAAAATAATGCACTCTCATGAGACTGTGATAACAGTGATTTCTTGGCAGTTCTCCAGATTCTCCTCTAATTGTGTAGCTCTACCATTGGTCACTGCACAGTGAGGGGAGTAACAGTAAAGAAAAATACATAAAACGTTCAATAATTTTTTTAATGCTAGGAAAAACATAAAACATTTCTCAGTTGTTTTTATAAATCATTTTATATCATATTAATGGCCCTTTCTGCAACTCCAAAATTATCTACCTACTGATATGCTTTAGAAATAAAGCTGTAGAAATATTTTTGCTTATTTCCTTATTAAATATTAATTTATATAATGCACATATTAGAAATAAAATGCTTTATTTCATTGGCTTGTATATCCTCAAAAGAAAGTTCACTGATGAAAAATTTAAGAATAAAGAAATAAGATTGGTGGGGAACATTGGTGTGTATTCCTTAATAAATCCAGTTTATTCTCAGATGATTTATTTCATATAAACACAGGACTAAAGGCTAAGAATAAATAGAGGTATATATTTTTATCTTTATGTTCAGGTATTAAATGGTCCTTATGTTATGCTTTTATAGCTCTAGTTCCAACTATATTGACTGTTATTTGGTGGTAGTCCCCAAACACCAGAGTATATTGAAATGGTCTCAGAAAAGAAGGAAAGGTATCAGATCCATGTGTGATTAGGTTGATGATTATCATTTCTTTCCAATATCAATATCCTTGTAAAATGTCATAATGATATTTAAGAGACTTTAGTTATTTCAGTTAACATTTATCTTTTGAAAATAGCCTTTTATAATATTTCAATGGAAAAAAATCAGTTCATTATTATTTTATTCTAACTTATTATTCGATGGTGTTATTAAATCTTTTCTTTTTTTTTAAGCTCTTCTCACAGACAGCTTTATCATCTTTTCATTTTTGGCACAAAACAAACTGTGTTTTATTCAGTTTACCAAGAAGATGGGTTCTCCTGATATAAACAAAAGACTGGAAAAAATCTCAGCTTTGGATTATAAGGTAGAGATTTCTATTTAAATAGTCATATTGTTAATTATTAAGGTATACTTGAGTATTACATGAGGTAATGTTATGCTCATTATTCTTGAACATTCCTGGATTTCAGAGTCATTATAGGATTAAGCTTGATTCACTAGAAACAGTTTTTTCCTAAGTTTTTTTCCTATTCTCATTATGGGGTTGGTCTAACAATGGCATATTCGGAGCAATTTTTATAGTTCTTACGGAAGTGAAAGACAGATCATAGAAGCAAGTTACATATTTAAAAATGTTTGTGTTGTTAGTGGTAGTATGTATACCATTCTTCTTTTTCCGTAAGACGCCACATTGTCTTTCTAGGCTAGGATAGCTGCTCTGGCTTCTATTTCACAAGAAAAGAAAGAAAGAAGAAGGCACTTTTAACGGTCAATAGAAAAGTGTACCAAACAAGGAGTGGGACGATTCCCCCCTCCAACTATAATGAGAGAAAATGCAAAAAGAAATCTTCAGGTGTTAGTATCTCTCCCTTCACTAACTCCAAGTAATTTGTTTCCTTGTATCAGGGACTTTACATCTGTTAAGGCAGGATTTTTATTTTAAATGATGTGTTTAATTTAAGTTTTGCCACATTACATTTTAACTGCTTGGAAGGCATATTCTCTGCTAGGATGAGTATCTAATACATTTTCCAGGCTGTTTCAGTTCAAGGCCTCTTTTTAGCAATGTCTTGTGTTTGCAAGATTGATTCAGCCTCTGTGACGTGGATTTGAGACAGTTCACTGTTCACTGGGAACAGAGCTGATATACAGCTTCCTTAAAACAGATGCACACTTATACCATACCTAGAATATGTAGCAAAGGCAAAAGATTTCTAGAAGTCAGCTTTGTGGCTTGAATCTGTGTGTGTTTTTGAAAAAGTAGTATTTAACCTAACCTTTTTTCCTTTGAGATTATTTCTTATTGTGATTGAGTTGGTAGTGGTATGAGGGAGAACCTGATTTTATTTAGCAGAAACATCTATTCTTATAAAAGAGATTTTTGATATAGGATAGAATGTAAATAAGTTTTTCATTGTGGTAATAAACTGCAATTTGGTTTTGTTTACCAGCTTTGTGGAGCTTCTATAACCCTTTGTGTAATATTGATTCTCTTTAGCTGGAAACCAGCAGTACTCATGTATTTATTTTAGTCAAAAATTAGTGTTAACATTTTTAATGGTATGTTATTTTCCAGAATGGCTAATTGTAGATTTACTTGAAATAGTGTTTATTCACCAGTAGTGTTCTTCAAAATGCACCAATATGAAATAAGTCAAACTATTTTAAGTGTTTCTAATGCTGTCATATAAAATGTTGTTTGACTAGTCTGTCCATTTTTGGATTGATGGATGGTTTAATGAAGTCCTCCCAGCTGAAGAACAGTAGCTCTCCATTAGTGAGAGAAGAGAGAAACTGTCAGGACATCATCTTTTCTTACGAAAAGAAGGGGGAAATAAGCTGAATATGTGGGCCCTTTTACCTTAAGTAAGAGAATTATTTGTTTATTCTTTCTGCCTTTGGATTTGGAAAATTATGATATGCAACTCCGTATTTCTATAATTAGAGAAGTAATCCTTTTGGAAAGCCCATAGATTTCATATTCTGTTTCAGTATTTGAATATAAGTATTTAATACTGAGTTAAAAAACTGCCTTTTGTCAATTGGAAGGATATTTTAAGAAACTTTTTTACTTGCTATATATGCCATCGTGACAGAATATGATGCCATTCAAACTTGTTGGAAACATGAATTTTCAGATACATACTTGATTTGTGTTTTGTGAGGACTGAAAGTATAAGTCTTTTGTTTAATTGTTTCCTCATGTAGAAATTTGTAAGTCATACGTTTACGTGGCAAGTGGGACATAAAAAGAAAGAATATGTGTATTTAAGGCCATAGTAATTCCATTGTGGTATTTCTCTCAAACAAGAAGAGAACTAAGGATATTCAGAGCTTAAATATAAGAATTTGCACTTCCAAGCATAAAGTACACGTGTGTTGTCTGTCATTGCCCATTTGGGTTTGAAAACAAGGAAACAGTGTAAAGAATTATAATTCTGCTTTTCTTTACAGCTGTACCATAATTTAATTCTTTTAGATTGAAGTGTTTTTGGTAAAGAAAATTACAGGGTAAATATCGTGAAACTATTGACTTTTAACAAGTTTTCCTGTCTGCATTTAAAAAAACCAATTCAATTTATTTAACAGTAAGAGGACAGTGCAAGGAGTTAAATGTTTACCATGAGAGAACAACACTGGTAATTACTTTGATTTCAGTTCCTTTTGATGTGCATTCAGAGGATGAAGAGGTCAATAATATTATGGCCATGCAAATAGAAAAGGGTTTCTTTTGACCATATTTTTAAAAATAGCAGAGGATTATTAAAGCATTAACCTTGATTTTAATGGCCTTGGCTGAGTGGTGAGATCACAATTTGGATGAGCCTGATTATTTACTAAATACAATACATAAATGCAACGGGTTCTTAACACCCATTGCACTCTGGCATTATCGCATTACTGCCATCCTTTGTTGCCTTGCAGACAGGAATATGAAAGCAATCTGTCATGTAGTGAGACTGGCTCCAGAAGCATTTCTCTGATAAGAAGACCCCCTGCCCTTTGCTAGTGTCTGGTCCAGTAGGCTTAGCCATGCGCTTAATCCCCAGAAAGTGGTTCGATTATTGCTGACCAGCAATGGCAAGATAGTTTTTTTTTTTCCTCCAAGCTATCAACCTTCCATTAATTCCTTAAGCAGAAATACGGTGCAATCTATATTTCCTTGGCATGTGTCACCCAGATGGTGCTGTGCTTATGTTTTCAAATAACCATGTTCCAAAATAACATAGTTTGAATAATAAATTTTTACAAATTCTTCCTAAGAGAAGCATAATTCTCAGAAGCTGAATGAAATTTTACACATGATGCTGTGGCTTATTGTTTTTTGCAGAATATGTGTGTATATGTCTCACATGTTCTTTAAAGTGGTATTTGCCACAAGTTGTTTTTCCTTTGAGTGTTGCCAGTCATTGTTAACGTGTTATGTCTTAAACAGTATTCAGACCCTCTTGGTCAGCAGTACTGAACTTGTCATTTAACATGGCTGGTCTTAAATCTTAGGTGCAGGTTGATGCTGTCAAGCAACCATGACTGTCCATTTTGGTATTGATTGAGATTGCCACAGCCGGTTCCTCCCTAACCCATATTTTTCCTTTTTCTTTCCTCTGCTAAAAATGGAGAGAATTTTGAACATATGTCTTTTTTATATACGTGTCAAAAGTATTTGGTAAATTCCGACACCTCCTTAAGCACATGTTTAACATGCATATTTACTTGCATTTATCTACATTTACAGATACTTTAATTATAATACTTTGAAGATTTTGAATTAAAAATGATTCTTGTATACTTTTTTTTCTTTTTTTTAAAACACCCTAGATTTCCTATCATGAAATACCTGGCCCAGTAAACAGGACAACAGAGCGTCATCTAGCTATCAACTGTGCTCAGGATATAGTTGTTTGCTGGTGGCCACTGGTCAGTGATGATGCTTGGCCATGGACCCCCATCTCTGCTGAGAAGGACAGAGCCAATCTGCTGCTCCTGGGTTATGCTCAAGGAAGACTGGAGGTAAATCTAAAAAGAAATATCTGTATTTTATTGAAGAGAAAATAAAATAAGATTATTTGTTTTTTCTATTCTGAAGTAAATGCAAATGCTTTTTGAAGCTATAATTTATTTTTTCTAATACTCAGAAAAGGAATATGAAAGAGGATCCTTAAAAGTATCATACCTAAAGGTTACAAAGGCAATTTCAGGGCTGGCCTGAATAGCATAATAATTAGAGCAAGGCTTCTGGGTTCAATTCCTAGCTTTGCTATTACCTAGCTCTTGATCCTTGGGCAAGTTACTAATGTCTATGTGTTGTGGTTTTGTTAGTTTAAAAATAGAGTTAATGAAGATAAATTGGTAATACATGCATTTAGAGAAATACCTACATAAAGTTTATTACGGATCACTATTGTGGTTCTTCTTATCGTTATTAGTACTATCATCTCTGTTTGCTTATAATTTCATGTTTGGCAAAGTTGTTATCAGTCACCTTCTTGAAACATTAGTCAGTCAATTAAGAAACAGTCAAATGCCTACTTTGTGCCCAATGCTGTGGTTCTAAACCATGGCTTGGAGCAAGAATTTGTATGGAGGGCTATGGAGCAGGGGCCTCAGTCTAGCATGCTTCCTCAGACAGGAGCACCAAAACGGTTGTTCTAACAGGTGAGGACAATGTCTCGCCCTATACTTGTTCCTGACAATGGTTCTATCATCATTCAATATTGCGAACCTATGGATATTTTCAGCTTGTACCAATACTTTCAGGATGAAGTTCTGTTTTGCTTTTGTATAGCTTAAAAAAAGAGCATCCCCCCATTTTTTAACAGTTTTTGCCTGGGAAAAGTGGTGTGTTCCTATATTTCCTATGTCTATTATCTTTCAGGCTTTAAAAAGTACTTCACAGAATTAGTATTCTGAGATGTAATGAATGTCCAAGTTTTCTCTGTCTCTATCACTACCTACCTCTTTTAGTTTTATAAACTTTGATTCTGACTTTTAAGACTGAAAAGTCCTTTTTGATTACTTAATTCATAATTAACCTTTTCCTGGAACGTTTCCAATTCTGTTGCACTAACTAACACCACTGGTAATGCTTTAGGGTGGATTTTGTAAGGCTAAGGAAATGCATTGTTCCCATTTATTTCCTGTTCATGCCCACCATTTTATTACTATTGGGTTTCGGAGTTAATTGATTAAAATAGTTAACTAAATTGACAATGTGTCCCGGCTGGTGTGGCTCAGTTGGTTGGAGCTCATCCTGTGACTGAAAGTTTTCAGGTTCCATCCTGGTTAGGGCACAGGCCTGGGTTTCCCATCCAGTCCAGTTGATGTTTTTCTCTTCAGTCAATGTTTCTCTCTCTCCCTTCCTGTCTCTCTAAAAGCAATGGAAAAAATGTCCTTAGGTGGGGAAATAAATAAATAAATAAATAAATAAATAAATAAATAAATAAGACAATGTAATAAAGCTAATTATAATTCTGTTAAATGTTCTGTTTCATAACAAATGTAAAGATACTTAAAACAGCATTTAGTTATACATTGCACACATTACCTTTATTTGAAATCAGTGTAGTACCTGAAATTAGGACTGTCCTAAAACGGCACACATCTGGTTTGCATACCTCATCTCTTGCTGTCATCTAGATCATGGACTTTGGAGGCTGATAAACCTGGATTTACCTGTTGGTTGGACCATATACTAACTGTGTGACCTAGTCAAGTTTACTCCCTCTGAGCTTCTGCCTGATAGACCTTAGGTAGGTCACCTATCCTCTCTGACTTTAATTTTCTAATTTTTAAAATGATGGATTTAAACTAGATAGTCCACCTCCAGTTCCCCAACAGCTCTAAAAAGTGCTCATCTGGATTTTGAAGCACACGTCTGATTTAGCCACTGCCTGCTCAAAAGCCTTCAGTAGATACCGAAACTAAACTTAGCCTCAGCACTGAAAAGCCCACTCTTCACTGGCTCTGACTTGCCTTTTCAGCCTTGTATTCTTATACAAACCTGTGTTCTAGCCAAATGTTTTATTCACTGCCTCATTATTTCCCACCTCCTGCCCATACTGCTATTTCTACCTGAAAGCCCCTTTCCTTTCTCTTTCTACATCCTTCAGAAACTGCTGAGCACGACCATGGAGTAAGCACTGTAGTTCACGCCATGGGATGTGAATGCAGAACTGTCCCTACCTGCAAGGATCTTAGTGTCTACCAATGAGAGACAAATATGAAAGTATATAAGTGCACTGGAAGTATCATGTGGTGCTATGGATGGAGCATGTGTAAGCTATAGTGAAGCCAATGGATAATAATTGATTCTACTTAGATAGTAAGGAGTGAATATTAGCCTTTACAATTTGCTCAGATATGAGATTGGTACACAATTTTACTTTCTTATACTATTTCTCAGTTTCACATCAGAACTGTTCTCGCCTATGGTGTGATTTGGCTAGCTTTTTTTTCCCTTCTCTCTGAAACAGTAAAAGAAATTATCTCATACTTGAATGTTTGGTAAAACTCACTTATAGAACTGTTTGGGTGTGGTGTCTTTCAAGAAAGGTAGATTTTTCATACTGGCTCTACTTTTCAAGGGTTGTTTGTTCTTCAGGAATTCTATTTTTTCCTTGCATTACCTTCCATATTTTGTATTTCTGAAAAATTATCCATTGTATGAAGTATTTGAATAAATTTTAATAAAGTTGTATATGATATTTGCACATGATTTTTAATTATTTACCACTGATTGCGTAGTTAATGTCCCCTTTGTCAACCCTAATGTGTTAAGATATGTAATTCATCTTTTTGGCAAGTAGCTTTTGTGTTGAATTTGGCCCTTTCAGTCACTCTATCAAAATTAAACTGTAGGAAAAATTTGGAAATATTTTCTTTTCAGAATCTCCTGTGAACTTCTGTATGCAAAAGATGAATGTCTTTTGGAAGAAACATTTAGGGAAATAATGTTTTTTTTTAAATTTATACATCATGTTAATTCTATTACAGTTTTTCCCCTTTACCCCCAATCCCACTCCACCCCCTGCTTCCACAGTCAATTCCCACTCTGTTTCACACATTATACAAGAAATATTCCGGTGAGTTAAAAATCAGTATGTAGAATCTAAGGAGTTTTAGGAGAAAATACAAAATAATATTTACCTTACCCTGAAGTAAAATATTCACACCCAGAAGCTATAAAGTAAAATATTGACAATATGACTGTACTAAACATTTAAGACTGTACAATAATATACATATAAAAAAAGTTAAAGGACAAGTAATACCATAGGAAGATATTTGCAACACATCTAAAACAAGGTTAATGGTTTCTTTTATTTTGTTTTAGGGAAAAATTCTACAAACCTTTAATCAAAAAATGGATAAAGAATACCAAAAAGTCATTTAAAGCTTTTAAAAATAACAGAAATAGGCAAGAAATATACAAAAACAGGTTTAGTTTCAACAGATAATAAAAGAAAAGTTAAAATAACACATCATTGCCACAATCAGATTAATGAGTATTAAAAATATTGGTAGTATCAAGTATTGGCAACTCTGAAAGGAACTGGGTATTCATAGATTCTTTTTCTTCATCTTCTTAAAGCAGGCCCTTTAGCATACTTTGCAGTGCTGGTTTGGTGGAGGTGTATTCTTTTAGCCTTTTGTCTGGGAAACTCCTTATTTTGCCTTCCATTTTAATTGAGAGCCTTGCTGGGTAGAGCACTGTTGGTGGCAGGCCTTTGCTGTTCATTCCTTGGAGTAATGTTTCTTGCCACTCCCTTCTGGCTTGCCGTGTTTCTGTTGAGAAGTCAGCTACTAGCCATAACAGGGTTCCCTTATATGTACTACCTCTTTCTCCCTTGCTGCCTTCAGGATTCTCTCTTTGATATTTGCCATTTTAATGATGATGTGTCTTGGAGTGGGCCTCATTGGGTTCTTCTTGAATGGGACCCTCTGTGCTTCCTGGACTTGTGTGACTTTTTCTCTCTTCCAATTAGGGAAGTTTTCCATCATGACTTTGATTTCAAACAGGTTCTCTATCCCTTCCTCATCCTCTTCTCCTTCTGGTATCCCTATTATCTGGATATTATTAGGTTTCAGGTTGTCCTGCATTTCCCTCAATGCCTCTTCATTCTCTGTGAGTCTTTTTTCATTTTCTTGCTCTTTCTGGGAGCTTTTTTCTACCTTGTCCTCCAGCTTGCTGATTCGGTCCTCAGCTTCATCTAGCCTGCTTTTGATTCCTTCTACGGTGTTCTTCAATTCAGAAATGGTATTCTTCATTTCCTCTTGTCTCTTATTGATAGTTTCTGTGTCCTTTTTCGTGCTGATAGAGTTTGCAGTTAGTTCCTCATAGTTTCCCTGTAGGTTTTGGTAATTCTCTCTGAGCTCATCGAGCTTCCTTAGAACTGTTGTTTGTCACTCAGTATCTGATAGTTTACTTGCCTCTATTTCATTTAGTTCTATTTCTGGGGATTCCTCCTTTCTCCTTTCCCTTCGAGTGGAGCGTATTTCTTTGTCTTCTCATTATTTGATAGAGACTCTCTTCTCTTTTGCTTCTGCTTCTTAAGTTGATCTGTCTTGATTTCCTGACTTTGTGGTGTGAACTTCTATGGTAGGAGACCGCTGATTTTACTTTCTGGATCTGCCTCTGATGATGTCAGATGTCGTCCCTGTCTGACCTTAGGCAGTTTGTTCGAGACTTCAGGTATCTACTGTCTGTGGCTGTCTCCTTCAGCTGTTAATATAGTCACTCTGCCCTCTGCAGGCCACCTTAGACAGCTCAAGGTGGGGCGGAGTCCCTCCTGAGGGCGGGGCTATTGGGTCCTCTCATGCTGCTGTCGTATGGGGGAGGAGTCAGCACTGGGATTCTGCCAGCTACTCTCTGTTCTCTCCTCAAAACCTCTGTCCCCAGTCTCTCCTCAAGTGTCTTCAGACCTCTGCGCCCCCTTTAGCCAGGAATCTACTATCTGTGGCTGCCACTCTGCATTCAGCAGGCGGCTTAGACAGCACAGGGCAGGATGGAA